AAGGGTAGATGTTTTCATCAAAAATTACATGACGAGAGATGATAATTTTGTGAGTAAGCAGATCAAGGCATCGGTATCCCCGTTGGTTGGACAAGTACCCTAAGAAGACACATTGGGTAGAGCGAGGTGCGAGTTTATGAGGGGCGGTAGTGGAAATATTAGGATAGCAGAGACAACCAAAGATGCGAAGATGGGAGTAGGTGGGTTTGGAGCCATAGAGGGCTTCATGTGGAGTTTGATTTTGGAGAGTGGTGGTGGGTAAGAGGTTGAAAAGATGTGAGGCCATGTGTAGGGCCTCAACCCAGAAAGCGGGTGGGAGTTGGGTCTGAAAGAGAAGAGATCGCACAATGTTATTTATGGTGCGGATGGTCCGTTCAGCACGACCATTTTGTTGGCTAGTGTGTGGGCACGAGAAGGGGAAGAGTATACCCAAGGATTCAAAAATGTTGCGAAGGGGCGTATTCCTGTATTCAGTTCCATTATCACACTGAAAAGCCTTAATAGTAGTATTAAACTAATTCTTCACAAAGGCAATATATGTGTGAAGATGAGAACATGCATCAGATTTATGTTTAAGAGGAAACACCCACAAAAAATGAGAATAATCATCCAAGAGTATCATATAATGTTTAAACCCAGTAACACTAGTAACAGGCGATTGCCATAAATCAATATGTAAAAGCTGAAAGGGAAAAGTAGAAATACGATTCGATGACTCGAAGGGAAGACGAACATGTTTCCCCAACTGACAATTATGACAAAGAGAGTTCTGTAAATGTTTAAAAGACAGGGATGAGAGACTAGGGACTCCACGAAGGACGGATAGGCTAGGGTGACCAAGACGACGGTGCCAGAGCTCCGAGCTACCGGTGACAACGTTGACTTGGGCTTGGGCGGTGGATTTGCTCATGGGGTAGAGAGGGCCAGCATTATTGGACCGATGAATCACGGTTCCCGTCAGCATATGCTTCACAGAAAAACTAGTGGAGTCAAATTCAATAGAGCAATTATTGTCACGGGTGAACTAGCGAACAGAAATAAGGTTGTGGATAATGTGGGGGAAAACAAGAATATTTTGTAAGTTAAGGGGAGGGGATGTGGGGAATTTATAGTTACAAATGGCCGTAGTGCGTACTTTAGAACCATTACCTAGAGTGGTATATGATGAAGAATTTAATGAATGAGTACGAACATGAGAAAGAGTACTTAGGTCCGAGGCGATGTGGTGAGTGACGCCGGTGTCCATATACCAATTTGGATCACGGATGGTGAGGGTGTCAAAGTGATGGGCTAGGGCAGTTGGGGTGGGGGTGTGGGCACCGGTTGGTGTGCTTACGGGTGAGGGTGGGGGCTGTCGGGTAGGGGCTGAGGTATGGGGAGGGGTAGCCGTGGGGTGGGTAAGGGGTAGAGAAGTAGGCTTGGGGGTGTTGGGGGTGCGGGTAGGGGTTTGGCCGGGGCCTAGAAGGCCCGGGTTAGGGTTTGGGTGGGTGAACTGTCCGGAGGGCTGCCCGAGGGTGTTCCGTACATTTGATCCGGAGCTATGGCCGCGACCACGACCCCGAGATGAACCGCCGCGGTGCCGGGAGTACTACTGCTGCTGCCTGAAGCCTCCCCTGCCGCTGGATTCCGACCGCCCGCCACCAGCGCTGCCCTGCTGCCTCGAGCCTCCACTGTCGGTGTATAACGCCGTGCCGCCATCCCCCGTGATGCTACCGACGCCCAATTTAGCCCGTTGTTGTTCAATTAAGAGGATGGCCGAATGGGTCTAGAGAAAGGTCGGGGGCGTTTGGTATTGAAGGAATGACGTTTGTGCTCGAAGATCATCCGGGAGGCCACGCAAGACTTGAAGAACAAGTTGTTGTTCGGAGACGGTGGCATCTACATCATCCAACCAATCCGCAAGATTCCGTAGGGTTTGACAATAAGCGGCAATGAAGAGAGAACCCTTCGTGGTAGTGCGGAATTGGTGTTCAAGTTGCATCGCTTGGGCCAGCTTGTTGTCGTGGTAGATGTTGTAGATGGCTCTCCAAAGCTCAGATGTGGAGTTGGTTGTAGAGAGAACAAGATCGCAGATTTCATCATTGACCGTTGAGAGAATCCAACCTTGTATAAGAGCGTCAAGTTGGAACCATTCCGAGTCGTCGGCGCTAGAAGGAGACGACTTACTGGTGAGGAAATCACCCAAGGAGAACCTTCGAATAAGGAGGAGGAAGAGTCGGCTCCACTTTTTGTAGTTAGGTTCGGAGAAGCTTAGGAGAATCGACACATGGAGCTTCACGTTCGAGATTGTCGTGAACGCCAAATGTGGAGTTGGAGAAGAGGACGTCGAGCCGGTGACCGAGGGTTTCTCGGACATGGTGATCGGTGGGTGGTTGCTCGCCGTAGGGAGGGAGATCGCCGGAGAGAGACAGCGGTCGGGCACTGCCGAGGGAGGAGAGGGGGCCGGCGGCTGGCTGCTGTGCGGCCGAGAGAGAGAGGTGACGACGGCGCGGCTAGGGTTTTGCCTACGCTAGGTCGGACGAGAGGCGGAGAGCAATGAGAGGCTCCGATACCATGAAGAATTGTTATTTTCTATTGGAGGACGAAGCCTGATATAAATAGTTACAGAAGATTCCTAATTACGGAAGGGAACCTATACATATAAACTACCATAAATACAATGATCACATAATTAATATTAAATATATACATAACATACTTCCTCCGTCCCTAAATATTTGCCACACTTGTATTCCCGAGGCAAAATATAAAATTTTTTCAATTCATTTTATTTACATATTGGTATAGAAATAAAAAATAAAATTTACATATCAAAAAACTACATAAAAAGTTATTCGAAATAAGAGGTGTCAAGAATATTTTATTTTACCAAATAACCAATGAAAACGTAGAAATAAACAAAAGTTCTCGTGACTGCTGAAAAAGCAAACGTTGCAAATAATTTGAGACGGAGGGAGTATTTAACAAACTCTTTTTTGGTTCTACCGGCAGTGCGCCACCACCACCTATGAGTCTATTAAGAGTAAAATGCTAAGTAATGCCTACCTTCTTTTGTTCGAGAGGCACATGTAACCCTCATTGAGTACTCGCTCAAATTTCTTTCAATATTTTTTTCTATTTTCAATATGGTCCTTTGATAAAATATTATATTCATATCATTATTAGTTTAGTAAAAAAAAATTTTTTGCATTTTTTTATCATGTAGTTTTTTTCTTTTGAGTCTTGACCCTAGTTTCGTCTACGAGTAGATTTTACGGCGGAAGAAACTTGAGGTTAGGGAATCTTCTTTTCAATTGGGACTATTAGAAAAAATGAGAAGGAATTAAAAAACATGGGGAGAATTTAGAATAAATTCGAATAATTTGGAAAAAATTAAAAGTAATTAGAAGAAATTGGATGAGTTGAAAAATATTAGGAAAAATAAAAAATGTTGGAAACATAGAAGAAATGAGAAAGACCAAAATATAAGTAAAAACATTGAGAAAAAACTAGAATAGAATTTTTAAGTTTTTATTTTCTGAATAAGAGTTTAAATGTCAATAATATCAACATACAATACCAAAAACATATTGTAGAATCAATTTACAGTTTTACATTGTGACAGTGCAAAATCTTATATATTTTGGAGAATCATTATGTTTTACTCCTATTAAAACAATTTATATTTTATTTATTTCTTTTTATTTTTTCATATGTTAAACTATTTTTGTTTGAAACAACATCTATACTTATATTTTTGTGAGCCACACACTATTATTTTTTTCGTAATCTTAAAAAAAAAAGTGCAAAATAGTAATGAGGATACCACGTTTACTTAAAAAAAAACACAATGAAATCAATTTTAAGGAAATCAAGAAATTGCAATGATAAGTTGATTATGAATTTTTGAACGCTACGCTCCACCAAGAGCTTTTCCGGATTCTTATAGACGCAAAAGGCAAAATTGAGATGCAGTCGCTTCTTTTTCTAAATTCGCATCGTGTCACGCGAAACTTTAGGAAAACGCACACGTTTTTCCAAAACAAAAATCTTCAAGGAAAAATAAAAAATTAAAATTCAAATGATTTTTTTAACACATTACTTTTTTGAATTGATTTGATGTGATCTGATCTGAATGTAGTTATATTTAAAGTTGTTTATATTCTGATATGATCTGATTCCAATACAAATAAATTATAAGTAAAAAAATAAGTTGAGAAGTACATGACCTAACTCTTTTGAATTGGCCCAACAAAGATTAAATTAACTTCAACAACAATAACACTTCAACAACAATCCAATTAAATCCACAAGAGTATGGGTTTGGGGTGGGTGTGCATACACAAACTTTACCCTTACTTGAAAGTAGAGAGACTGTTTGTAAAAAGACCGCCGACTTAGCGTCGAAAGTTGCATTAATTAAGTAATTGCAACTCATTAATTAAAGAATCACGTATGGTTTACAGATTTATTTTGCTTTGTTCCGCCGCACCCAAAACCCAAAAATAATGATTTTTTAGCTCCATGGGAGAGGATGGAAAAATGACTACTATTTCTTATCTTGAAAAAGAAATGTTAGCACATGGAAGTGAAAAATGCTAGGGGTACACCAAAGGTGTACCCCATTTGTCCCTCACCTCCTCCATTACTATAAAAATGGGCAAGAAATTTAAATAAATAAAAATGAGATAAAAATAAGTGGTTGAAAAAGGGACTTGAATAGAATCCTTACGGTTCTAAAATTCACAGGTGTTGATCCACGTCATAGCTCTGTTTTGTCCTCAGTCGAAAATGGCGGACTCCCTTTTCTCTCCCCTATCGTAGATCGCCAACACTCCTCCCCCTCCCTATAAAACCCTACTCATCCTCCTCTGCGAGTCTCCGCATCTCTCCACTCTCCGCCGGCTCGCGGCTGCCATTATTCTGCAATGGACACTGTGGACTCATCCCGAGCATTCGTCAAGGATGTCAAGCGCATCGTCGTCAAGGTTGCAATTTCTTCATATTTATTGCGTTTTTTTAAAATTTTCCTCTGTGTGTTCTTCGCGAATACGATTGCATCTGGAAACTCTAATTCCAACCTCGCTCGACACCACATCATTTTGCTGTTTATGAACAATTTTCATGCACGCCTCGTATTTGTTGCATGTTTTTATTTTAAAAATTACTGTTTTCGCTCAAATTGTCAATGTGTTTAAATTTAACAAATATGGAAACAAATCATAGTGCAATTTTAGATACACTTTTGCTGGATTGTCTGGGAAAAAAGATTGAATGGACAAGACTACAAGAGAGTATTATTATGGCAATTTCCATTTACTAGTTTGCCCATCCCAAACTAGTTCTTGTTTGTAATTTCATTAATTTGATCTGGAAGCCAATAGATATATCTATGAGCTCTGGTGTAAAATAGTCATTTATTGTGAAGGTTGGGACTGCTGTTGTCACTAGAGCTGATGGAAGGTTAGCTCTTGGAAGGTTAGGAGCACTATGTGAACAGGCAATTTCTTTAACCTGATGTTCTTTTTGCCTATATTATGCCAATTTATTAATGTTGGATGGTTGATTCTCATGGATTAGCTCTATTTCAACTGTGTGCAGATTCAAGATCTCAATTCTCAAGGCTATGAAGTTATTTTAGTGACCTCCGGTGCTGTTGGTGTTGGTCGTCAACGGCTGAGATACAGGAGATTGATTCACAGCAGGTTCTGAAATCCCCCCCCCCACTCTGTGTAGCACCATCGTTTCTGATCATTTTTATTTGAACACACTTGAAATATTAGCCTTAACCAGAGGCTCACCACCTACAAATAGTGATCATTTTTATTTGAACACACGAGTCCCATTGGTNCCCCCCCCCCCCCCACTCTCTGTAGCACCATCGTTTCTGATCATTTTTATTTGAACACACTTGAAATATTAGCCTTAACCAGAGGCTCACCACCTACAATGAGTCCCATTGGTCCCGGTACCCCCACAGACCTTCAAATAGTATTAGACTCCCTCCGTCCAAAAAGTTTCTTTTTCATTTTTGTTCCGTTCATAAATTTCTTACCATTTTCTTTTATGACAAAAAAGTTTGTCTTTTAAATGTCAAAATTTTTCCTTACACTTTTAATGATTAGCTATGAGTTTATCACTTTTCATGTGCACTATTCACTTTATTTAACATTACTCATCCAAAGATATACTCTGTATATAGAAAGTCAATGATTTTTCATTAATATGCTTCCCAGGTCAAACTGGGGAGAAAAATTCTTGGAATATAAGTGACATTAGTTAGTGAGTCCAAAACCTCTTTATTAGGCTGTTGTATAATTGTAAAACTGGATAATACAGTGCATTTGTTTGTCATTCAAGAGGTCACTAGTTGCCTCCCAATTTTTCTCAAACTAAGGCCTTTGTGCATAACACCCTAACTGCTATCGTGACAAGTGTCTCAAATTATTTCAAGTTAATTTTCTCAAATGTTATTTTCATGCTTTCCCTCCACTTTCAAATCTGCTAAGTGCTAATAGAGAATATTGATTGTTAGGTTTTTTTTGATAAATGGGAACAGTTGAGTTTTAATTCTAAATAATGTGTAAACTTTAGTTTATTAGCGTTAGATTAATTTTTAGAAGTATTTAGTATTTCTTTCCTGTATTAATTTAATCAACATATTGGTGGAGTTGTTCAAGCAATCATTGACTTATTGAATCAACTGATTTATTAGGATGCCAAGTACGGAGTATATTTCAAAAAGCATCTAAGATTCAAAAACATTGAATCTAGTGGACGTGGTTCAACTTTAGTACTATGTAGAATTAATGATAGTATTAGAGTAAATCACCTATGTATGATAGCTAGCAAGATACAAATGTAGAATATACTCCGTATATTTTATACGTAATCTTACAAATAATTGGCATAATATTCCAAAATTATATACAGTATGTTAAAAGTGTTAAGTTTGATTTGATTTAATAATATGCTCCTACCCTCCTACTATTTTATTTTCTTTTTAATTTTCTGTCCACCCCTATTGTTTGCCACACATGTATTCCTAATAGTTCATTTTTTATTTGTAACATGAATAACCTAAATGTAAACTTATGCCTATATCTGATTCTAAATTATGCAAATGCTTTTTTTACTATCATAAGCATTTGTACCAGGAATGTTTTCCCCTGTTAAGTCTTACACCTGCACATTTGGATAGGAAAAGTCGGGAGGCTCTAATGCATGTTTATTTTGTTCAAAAGTACTCAATACTCAATATTTTATAATCCTGATGATTTGCAATACAGTTTTGCGGATCTTCAAAAGCCACAAGATGAACTTGATGGTAAGGCATGTGCAGCCGTTGGACAAAATGGCCTAATGGCTTTGTATGACTCTTTATTCAGTCAGGTGAGAAATCACAGGCTATGCATATTTTTTTATTTTTACTTTACAATTCAGTGGTGGATCCAGAAACTAGAGTGACCGGGGGGTAGCACCCGCGGATTTTTTTGAAAGCAATGTGAAATAAAAAAATACTTCGTATTTATTTCATGTCAAACAAGCAATCAAATAATTAATGAAAATATTTTTAAAATACTTCCTACTCTGTATAATTTGACTTCTCTTGTAATTATTACTTTCAAATTATGTTCTACAGTAGTAATTCTAAACATTTCACATTTAAATTCTATTATTTTGACGTTAAATATTTCATTCTTTCAACTTAAAAATTTCTTTTTATTAGGGGAAAGTATTTTTTGGGGCCATTTTAATATTTAGGGTAATTTAGGGGTTTTAATTAAATTAATTAAAAAATTTGATTAGGAACAACTGCCCCCATTGATAAAGAAGTGGCTCCGCCACTGCTGAGTAATGCTGGTCTTTCCTTGAAAAATGGTTGTTTTAATAATAATAATATTATTATTATTATTATTATTTGGACTAATTATTATTATTATTATTATTATTTCTTTTTTATAACAAAAAAGTAATATTATGATTACTATAATTATCACTACTATTGTTAACTTTATTTTTACAATTTCTCCTTGCAGTTGGATGTTACATCTTCTCAATTTCTCGTTACGGATAATGACTTCAGAGACCCAAACTTCAGGATGCAGCTTAATGAGGGAGTAAATTCACTGTTGTCTCTGAAAGTTATACCTATATTTAATGAAAACGACGCAGTTAGTACACGCAAAGCTCCATATGAGGTATGCATGTAACTTAAGTATGCAGGTTCTTAATAAATTCACCATTTTTCTTAAGCATTAAAACTAATTCAGTTACATTTAATCACTTTTCATATAATTTTTAATATATCCCTTTTGTGGCAGGACTCTTCTGGTATATTTTGGGATAATGACAGTCTAGCAGCTCTACTAGCTCTGGAGCTGAAAGCTGATCTTCTTGTACTATTAAGTGATGTGGAAGGCCTTTATAGTGGCCCTCCTAGTGATCCCCACTCAAAATTGATTCATACATACATCAAAGAGAAACACGAAAGAGAGATTACTTTCGGTGACAAGTCTAGAGTTGGAAGAGGGGGCATGACTGCCAAAGTAAAAGCTGCAGTTTACGCCGCTTATGCTGGAATCCCTGTGGTCATCACGAGGTTTGCTTTGTTTTTCTTCTTGTTACGCATGAGCCCTGCTTGCTTCAGTTCTTAATATCTGTGTGTAGGGAGAATGAGGAGGTGGGGTGGTTGGATTTTTAAGCGACAATGGCACTGCTCTAAGAATCCTTATTATCTAGGCGCTGGACCCTGTCCTACTGTTTTAACAACACTGAATAATTGCTATACTTTTGTATCATGATTTCCTCACTGCTCTCTCATTTATGGATATAGTGGCTTTGCTGTTGACAACATTATCAAAGTACTACAAGGAGAACGTATCGGTACCCTCTTTCATCGTGAAGCTAACAAATTGGATCCAGCTGTAGATGTCGGTGCTTGCGAAATGGCAGTTGCAGCTAGGGAATGTTCCAGGCGGCTTCAGGTATGTTCTTTGTCTGGTCCTTCAGGGTGTAGTTCAATGAAGGGGTTTGGACTAGGCTTTGGAGGGCTTATGTTTTATCTTGATAAGTAGAATGTTTCTGAGAATGAAGAAAAATATATACAAAATTTCATGCCAACACGTATTATAGCTCTAGATAGCTAAACATTTCTTCTGCAGGCACTTGCTCCAGAAGAAAGGAGAAAGATTTTGTTGGATATTGCTGATGCACTGGAAGCAAATGAAAAAACGATCCTTAGCGAGAATGAAGCTGATGTATCTGATGCCCAGCAAGCTGGCTATGATAATTCTTTGGTGTCTCGACTGGCCCTAACACCAGAAAAAGTACGCTCATTTCTTACTTATGTTGGTGTCTGTTCTCTGGAGGCTTTTTTGTCGTACTTTACTCCATGTCTTTACAGATCTCGAGTCTTGCAAAGTCAGTTCGTGTGCTTGCGGAGATGGATGAACCAATAGGTCGCATTTTAAAGAAAATAGAGGCAAGTAAATATTTATTTTTTGTATGCATGCTTTAAAAAGAAAAACAAAAAATCTTTACTGTTTGTCTCTTCAATAATAGTTTATGATTGAGATATGAGCAGACGACCATTATGACAGTTTCTTTGAATCCAGATTGCTAATGGATTCATCTTGGAGAAGACATCATCTCCTTTGGGTGTTCTTTTGATTATCTTCGAGTCACGTCCTGATGCACTTGTTCAGGTATTTTAAAATATAAGGAATATTTTTGTGTGATGGTTTCTATTTTTGTTTCCCTTTTACTGAGTCTTCTTTGATGTAACTATAGTTCTGTTTAATTGTGCAAGTGATTTTTTGGTTTGCTTCAATGAGTGTTTATATGGAGTAAAATTGCTTGTCTACTAACGTTTTAACTATAGTTCTTTTCAAGTTGAACTACTAACTTTGAGTAACATTGTTTTTTTCTCTTTCTAAATAGATTGCTTCACTTGCAATACGGAGTGGAAATGGACTGTTACTGAAAGGTGGAAAAGAGGCCAAAAGATCAAATGCAATCTTGCACAAGGTTTTTGCAAAAAAATGCATACACTTCCACATTTATCCTTAATGTTTTTAAGGACTTTAACTAACCAATACCTTTTTCTGTTTATTGTCAGATTATTACCTCATCCATCCCAGAAAATGTTGGTGAAAATCTTATTGGACTTGTTACATCTAGAGAAGAGATCCCTGAATTGCTCAAGGTAGATTGATCTGGACAATTGAGTTGGAATTGACAGTGTCATTCCTATTTTTTATTCTTTAAATCATTTCTAGCCTTCATGTGACCACAATGAGGCATAAACTCTCAACTGTTTGGTTCTTTATGCAGCTTGATCATGTGATTGATCTTGTTATCCCAAGAGGAAGCAATAAGCTTGTTTCTCAAATCAAAGCTTCAACAAAAATCCCTGTTCTTGGTCATGCTGGTAATTACCTACGGAATCTATGGGGTGGCGACGGAAATTTTCCGTCGCGATTCTGGCAGTTTTTTGTAGTGCTGGATCAGGGTTCCTGTTGTGCATAAAATCTTGTCATTTATCTTGCAGATGGAATTTGCCATGTTTATGTTGATAAGTCTGCTGACTTAGATGTAGCAAAGCGTATTGTGTTAGATGCAAAAACGGATTATCCTGCAGCATGCAATGCAATGGTAATTCATTTGTTGTTTTTTAAAAGTTGTTTCCACCATTGTTGGACTATATGCAAGTGCTTTATGGAATCATCAATACATTTTGCTTTCCTCCATAGGAAACACTTCTTGTACACAGTGACTTGGTGAAGAAAGGTGGTCTTAATGACATAATCATGGAACTTCAGATAAAAGGTGCAATTTCTTTACCTATTTGCAATTTTCTAGAAACACTTTGTCCCAAATGGAGTCATTTCTGTAATACTGTCAATAATTAAGTTGGGTTTAAGTGTGCAACTAACGGGTAAACTGCAAATCAAACAATCGATGTGGGATACTTGTCAAGAACCACACGTAAGAAGTGTCTATCAAGGTTAGAGAACCTAAGGGTTATTACTTATTTAACCCACACTAAGAAGTAGAATCCATTACTTTCAACAAGGGATATCCAAGTCCCCACACCTTAGCCAATTGGATCATAACAAAGTAACTATGGGTATGCACTCCGAGTATTGTTCATTAAGTCCTTTTGTCTTGTTGTGTATATGAGATGTGAATTATGTACAATTTGCTTGCTTGCTCAGGGGTTACTATATTCGGAGGACCAGAGGCAAGCTCGCTGCTAAATATACCAGAAGCTGATTCATTGCATCATGAATATAGTTCTCTGGCTTGCACGGTGGAAATTGTTAATGATGTATATGATGCGATTGATCATATACATCAGCATGGAAGGCATGCTCCCCACTTTATAGATTTTCATATTTATGCTTTAAGAACGCTAGTGAGAACCCTATGATACCTTTTTTTAGCTCACAACTTGACACTTTCAGGCTAAAAAAAATTACCGCCTCTCAAAATGCATCGTTTTCCCAAGAGATAGTTTTGAGCCCAAAAATAAGTCCAATTTCATAAGTCCCATATATCCACTCTTCTTTCTTGATCTCCACTAAGTTTCTAAATTTTCCAATTTACATTTTATGGTTTCTCATGCTTATCTACACAATTTTTCATAAAACTGTCCACCTTTTGAGGGCCAAATGGTAAAGCTGATCTCATACCATTTGCTTCCTTCATATCTGTGCGAAAAGTAATTGGTACTTACAATTTGGGATGAACAGATTAGTTTTGATATGAAAGGTGAATATTAAAGCTTGGGTTTTTTTTACTTGTACTGCAGTGGTCATACTGACTGCATTATCACCGAAGACAATGAAGTTGCTGAAATATTTCTACATCAAGTTGACAGGTTCTCTACCGCCATGGCATGAAATTTATGTGTTCACACACACGCACATGCTTATACACATTCATATACGGAGTAGATAGTTAAATATATGCATATGTATATGTATGATGTATTAATGTATGCATGCACTTGTTTCCTGGATAGCAAACTTATGTATACAATGTTTTTTCTTTATAAAATTATTTTTCCAGTGCTGCTGTACTGCACAATGCCAGCACAAGATTTAGTGATGGCTTCCGCTTTGGACTTGGCGCAGAGGTAGATAATTTATTGCTCATATACATTTTAGCAATCCATTTTTCCAAAAATTATAAATAATCAGTTATCCATTTATTACATCTGAAGTGTGAGTTTAATTATCTGTTTCCTTTATCTGTGGTAAAACAGGTTGGGATTAGTACAAGTAGGATTCACGCACGTGGTCCTGTAGGAGTTGAAGGATTGCTAACAACACGATGGTACTCTTTTAAATACTCACCCCGTCCAGATTAAGTTGTCCTAATTGTCCACTTTCCATGTTCAGTACGAAAATTATGATGAATTGTTAAAAAAAATCCTAGTTAAAGTACAACAACATTGTTGGCATGAATGGTCGACAAACTCATATGAAGGACTTATTTGACATTTTAATCTCATTTCATACAAATGAATATTTTTTAGAAACTGGATAACAAATGATTTCTAATCGGTTACTCCAATAACACTCTTAACACTATTTTTTAATTCAAACCACAATCAGATCTCATGCAATTTTGGCCACATAAGTTAAAATGAGCACTCAATTTCGGGACAAAAAGTGTTTTTTCATTGTGTATCTAAATTTGACTTAGTCACCACCTATTATACTCTCCACATTACCACATACACAATGATTTTTGTACTTAGACACTTGTCTGTGAAAACAAGAAAAAAAACCAAAAGAAATATTGTCTGTGTGTAGAGTAGAGTACAAATTGGGTTACAAAAACATTTTTTTCGAGACAATTTATCAGAACATTTGGAATGTTTTGTGTGTATGTTTGGGGCAGGATTGCAAGGGGAAGCGGGCACGTGGTGAATGGCGATAAAGAAGTTGTGTACACCCACAGGGAACTGCTGAGCTGAGTTTCAGATTTGCCAAACCAAGTGGAGAGAGAGTTTGGATTTCTTCTTTCTTTCTTTCTTCTTCTTCTTCTTCTTTTTAATGAAGAGATGCTTTTTCCCAGAGGTTCATCCATGGAGAAGCCACTTTTTGTGCATTGTAATCTACTGTCTTCTTTATTTGATTAGGCTCTGCAGAGTGTAATTTAAAGTTTCATCATCAATAAATCAGAGTGTATACATACAAAATAATGTGGCATATCTTTAGTTCTATAAACCACTCTTATCTTTGGCAATAAATCTGGAGTGGCTACTCTTTTTATCAAGTCATTTGGGCCGTTCAACTATCGGGTGGTAAATATTATGTGCACATATGTAGAAGGTGTTTGTGAGTGTGTTTAAGAATTATTTTTATTTTTTGTTCTGAATAGAATCATTTTGGAATGTTTGCAACGGTATGATTATTGTCTTTTTAGAGACAAAAAAGCAAAAGTTGAAAAGCTATTCTGAGATGGTTTTAGAGGGTGTTTGGAAGTGTGATGAGTTATGTAAAAGTAAAAGTCATAATTTAGAAGCAAAAAACATGTATTTGTAGCTTTGCTAAAAAGCATTTCTAGACCTCAATTTTAACTTCTAAAGTTATACTATGTAGTTTATAAGCTAAAGCAGATTAGCAAACATTTAAAATTATGTTTTAGTAAAGTAGAAGCTATAATTAACAAGGTGGTGGGGTTCTTTTGATACTAGAACCAGTATTATATTATGACACTGGATTAGTTTGATGCCTATAAGAAATTGACTTAAGAACCATTAAGGGAGGAACTATAAATAATAAAATGATGCATAATGGTTCAAATTTCTTTGTCAGTTGATACTTGAAGTAAACAAAGTTTATGAATTGTAATTTTAGCACTACTGGTACTGGAGGAAAAGTTTTCATATTTCTTTCTCGCAAAAGAAAAAAAACCCATCCTTTTAGTGTTTGTTAAAAAAATTGCAAAAAACAATCTAATCATTTAAAGAGATTACTAACAATCTATTTGGCAAAAAAAAAAAAAGATTTTACATACATGGAATATCTATTTTTACTTTTTTATACCGTATTGTATTTTTTTAAGATAGATACCAACCATCTTACATTTTATAAATTGTGTCATTTCAACATGACCCGTAAATAATGAAATAGGAGTCTTACAATGTTAGCAAATTTCGCCATTATTCTAAAATCCATAGTAAATCTTTATACAAGCCAAAAAAAAAGTATCTAGTCATTAACTGAAATGAATATTATTACTTCTTACGTCCCAAAAAGACTCTTGTCGTTAACAATCTTTCACTACTTTCACTGAAGTTATTTTCAATTTAATGTATTAAAAAATTCTCTCCTTATTTACTATTCACAACCTTGGAGACCCGTAGGCAGTAGCCAGGAGAAGGTAGTTCCTTTGTGATATGAGATCAGCTAACTGGTCTGCCGAAGGAACACAAGAGAATCATCCTCTCTTTTGTCTTATTTTTATTTCTTAATTGATAAAATAATATAGTCATGCCACTTCTAGATTGGTAAATCTTTTCATGTAGTTTTTAAATATATACTACCTCCGTCCCATTTTATAACGCCTGTTTCGGTTTACGATGTTTGACTGAAATTATTTTCAAACCATTTTATATGACAAATGGTATAGAATTAAAAAATAAAAATTACATATTAAAAAACTACATCAAAAGATCTACAAAACTAGTTGTGACAATAATATTTTATTTTATCAAATTGCTAACGAAAATAGAGAAAGAAAATGAATGAAGTTTGACCTGTGAATAGTAAACAGGCATTATAATTTGGGACGGAGAGAGTACTTTTTATTTTTTAATTTCATACTCCGTACCATTTTTCATATAAAAAATAAATCCAATAAATGGAAACTTCATTTGTGGACTGAGAGAATATTAAACAATATGCATTCTAAAGCACCAGAAAAATAGTTCCCAACGCATGATGACAATGGAAAAGCACGCAGTTTTTGACCTCATGAAAAAAAATGAAAACTACATCCATCACTTGGAAGTTTCCAAAGAAGTAAGCAATCACATCCCCATGTAACTTCTAGAAGATGAAGTTGTTATGAGCCAAAAGAGTTTTTTCAGGCCTGGATGAACTTCTTGATGTTCTGGAGCCACATCAAGTACTCTCTCCCGTCCTTGTCAATCATGTACTCGTGCAAGAAGTTTGTTGTGCTGGGCTTTATCCCTCTGATCTCCAGATACTTGTGAAATGCCTTCTGCAGATTCTCATCCAAATCCCTGCCACATACACATAACAAACGAAGTCTCCATTCATTACTGGGAAATTTCATGGGTTTGAAGGATAGAGGTGGAAAATGAGGAATTGATGTTCTTTACATGTTCAAGCTAAAGACATAATAACATCTTTTATCTATCTCTATGGGTTTGTTGGGAAAAGCAAGAATTATGAACACTTTTAGAATGTAATGGATAAAGTGGTGAAAAGCAATGGATGTTAGGTTATGAGACCAAGAAGAGGTTAGAACTCACAAAAAATCAGGCCCTTCGTATGCAATGTTATCCTCATCGCTCTTAGGATCTCTAAAAGAGAGGCTGTCTATGGAAATCTCATCGGGCAAAGCAGTGCAGCCAAACTCCAAAGCAGGACCATTCTTTTTGGAAACACAAACTACAAGAGGAATTTGAGAGTTATTGTCCTGCTCATCATCATCATCATTGTATCTCATTCGGTCATTTCCTTCATCACCGGAAACTAGGTCAGGCATGTGGACTTCAACAGTGATGTCTTCATCTTGATACTCTCTTCTCAGAGTTACCGTCTGGTATCCTGGATTATCTTCAATTTTGAAGGGAAACCCGGTGGGAACATCCTCAGCCTGTATGATTACAAACAAAAATCAGACACAAATATCCACATTGGAAGCTAAAAACAAATGATTATACATCAAACTACATTGTAAAGGAAGCTATCAATACCCAGATCCGTATATCATAATTCAAATAATCTTGCAAAATAACCACTAATTGGGGGTCAACAAAATACACACAAAAAAAGTGAGTAGGCAAGCAGGAAATCAAACTACTCCATAGCTAATACAAATAAATATAAATGCACCCAAAAAGTTAAGGAATTAATCGAAATACAGCTAGAACATGTATATAAGAATTAATTATCCAGAGAAACTAAAATAGCGAAAATTATAGCGAAACTGGAGAGGAAAAGTGGGGAATGATAAACCTCGTTAGTGCCTTCAGATTCAATGTGAGCATTGATCTCCGATTCAATCACTTTGAGCAGAGCCTCGTCGGACTTCGTGGAGTAGTGGTGAAACGCGGAGGGAACGGCGCTCCGGACGAAACTTCCAGAAACGCCACCACGGTTGGCGGCGGCAGCAGCGGCGGAGAACATGGAGGAGTACTGGCGGTGGTGATACCTTTGAGCTCTCGCTATGGATCGAGCAGCTCCGGCGGCATGACCGGCTGCTCTTCTGATGATATTGCAGATCGCCATTTCTGTTTAGGGTTCTGAGATGAGAGCAGAGAAGACGGGAAGGGTTTGGTGAGTAGGGTTTAACCGAGCCGGAGCGGCTACTTAAGGGTTTGAAGACGTTATCTGGTACCCGCAACTCCATAGATATTTGCCTGGTCCGCTACAATTGGGCCGGCCCCTCTGCTTTGAACTAGAACCTTCTCCTCCTATTTCTCTCCAAAAGGTGAAATCGTTCACTCCGGACGCCCCTCACCCCCGACCCGACGGGAATGTGAGAGAAGGTAAATCACGGTGACCCAAACAACAATACTTAGTTAGACCATATCTTAGTGCGCACCAGAGACTCCCTCCATTTTTCAGAGGTGGTCTCCTCCACAACGGTCGCTGCCAGGTTTCGATCCTTGATCATTCTCCAAAATTCACCAAGTGCTTGCCATTTGGGCTACCTGTGCGGGTATTTTTGATCCATAAAAATATAGGAAAACATTTAAGTAGATTTTTTTTTAAAAAAATCAGTTTTTTTATTTTTTAGCATAATATTCTTTTTATCTTCATAAGCATAAAAAACACACATTTGTAGTAGTATCATTTTTTAAAATATAATATTTGTTCGTATACATTATTTTAATCTATTGAAACAAATAAGTACCCGCCTTGATATTTGGACAATGTGATTATTATACCACTTTTATGGAAAAGTAATGCGTAGTTGAACAATGTTTGATACTCGTAATATCTATACAAATTAAATATGGGTTTGATATAATATTATTGTAATCTTTAACTTTCGTGATTTAAAAATTTAACTTAGTGTTAATTGGCATTATCATAAAATTAATTCAAATGGCAACACTACTGACTAAGCCTTGTTCTCTTCAACTTCCGTGATTACTTCTAATCTGATTTGACTAAGTTATGATTTGATGCAATTTAAATGTATTTATATTTATAATTATTTCTAATCTGATCAAATTTTAATAAAATAAATTATAAGAAAAACAATAAGTTGGAAGAAGAAACTCTAGATAATGACTACAATCTAATTCATGCCCCCGAAATAGGCCCATATTCACTTGGACTGTGCTACAGTGCACCCGCCACTGCCTCCTTTGCTGCCTCCCTATTTAAGCTGTTTTTTTTACCTTTTTTCCTTTTTTTTCTTTTTTTCTTTCCTCTTCGCTTCTCTGGCGGTTCTGCTCTTCCGCGCCAGCCAGCCGCACGACTTTCCTCTCCCTTTTCTGCGCTCTCTTTCCTACAAGGCAGGTAACATCTTCTTTTTCTTATCTTCCTCTTCATATCTCTGATGCGCCAACATCTGTCAATATCTTCTCTTCATTCCATTTTTAGTCAATTTCTATAGCAATAATTTTTTGAATTTTTGTGGAGTACATAGGGTATTTGGTGATTATTATGTTGAGAATGATCAACCACATGATTTTGGTGGTGAAGAAGAAGACCTGGTTTTATATAACTTGCAGGCCAGTTGTAAGTGTTGATATTTAGACCCCATTCTATATTCATTTGAAGTAGTGAAAAATACTGTTTTGTTTTGGTGTTACAGAGATTAAAGTTCTGTGAACCTAGGGTTTGTCCTTGTTACAGATGCTAATAATCTGTATGCACTCTGCATTTGGTGTATTTTTGTTTTCTTCATAGTCAGGCATTGTATTATATTAAAGGTGCTGTTTTTTTGCAGCTTTTGAACCAGATTTGTTTCTTAACGATCCTTGCTTTCAATATTTATTTAACAACGAAGGGCAAGACGAAGATGGTGTTTACGACCTCACCTTGGGAGGTCTGGAGCTTGGGCTTTCACTACATTGACTTTTAATCGTCCTTTTTTGGCATCAGATCTAGAACTTTGCTCTCATTTTTGGATTGAGCATGGGAACTGTAAATCACATAATTTTTTGCTTTTTGTGTTAAGTATGTAACAAATATGATAACTTTCTCTGAGTTCCATGCACATAAACTGATGTAAATATGATGTAACTATGTCTTCACATACATTAAGTCTCTGTGAAGTGTGAAATAGACGGTTATTCTATGTGAGCTCGCTGAAATCTAATGTATGCGTTTTAAGTTTCTTTTTACCTTTACAAGACCCCCACATATGTGATAAGATTCTGAAGATGGTGTATATACATAAAGTTATGTAACTCTGTCGTCACATACATTAAATCTCTGTGAAATGGGTAAAATAGACAGTTATTCTCTTTGACGGCTCTGAAAGTAAATCTGTAAATCAGTCATAAACTAATGTAAATGAGTCATCACATACATTAACACATTGTGCATTAACAAGTACAAATTCATGATTATAAAAGCCCCATTACAAAGCTTTCAAAAAAATCTAAAGTGTTTCTCCAAAAAATACATTACAAAGAACATAAACCATTACAAAGAGTTTCACAAAAATTAAAGACCCCTAAAATTGTAAAGTAAAAATGCTAAATATTGGGTGTTTTCCTTCCACGCCATAACCTAGCTGCAATTTGACATCAGAAATCAGCCATGTCTCGAACTTCATTTCGTAAGAGGTCTAATTCAGCTAGAACCCAATGTCTCCCATCTCCATTCACGGGCAAAAAATCTACGCATCAAGGGAGAAAAAAAGAGCTTACTGTCTATTTTACAAAACACACAGACAGTTTATGTATGTGAAGAGAGATTCACATGAGTTTAAGTGTATGGAAGTCAGAAGAAGCATACTACCTTTTCAATGTCAGACCAATCAAACTTGCTTAAGAACTTATCTGATACGAGAAGTATCACGTTTAACGGAAGCTTCGAGTGCTTCCAAACTCCAGAAGGTTGAGACGAGAAAGAGAAGAGAACTCGCACGGCAGCCGTGCGCCCAAGGAGAGAAGATTAGGGTTTTGGCTTAACTTTTTTTGATAATCATTAATTAAGGAACAACTCTCTTTATATAGGTACATAGAAGCCCCAACCCTAATTTCTACGTTATCTATCCTGACGGTTCAAGAAAGGCGACGAGTTAAAGAACCGTAAAGAAACCCTCGAAGGAGTATATATTTGCTCACCTAAGAAAATCTAAATTTATTAAATAATAATAATAATGAATATCTAATAATGATAATAAAAATAGAGATTAGCACTCATAATCCTCCTGCCGCGTAGGTGCCTTCCGTTGTCTCGTGCTCTTACGAACCCTTGCCTCTGGACCCACTTCGTCGTCACTTCCACTTGCGTCCGGTGCCTCGTTCCATGTAGACTCGTCTTCAATACCCGCGGTTCCCTCCGCTTCGGACTCGATAGAACCCGTAACATTATCCTTAGACTAAACTCTTTCATGTAAGTTGTTCTATACAAAATAAACATAAGACTTTTGAACATATCCTTATCTTTAGCACAATCAAAATTTAAGAAAAATGGTCTTACCACAAACACTGGTCCAACAACAATGAAGTTCTTGCACTCTATCCCATTGAAAACTTCCATCATATTGTCCATAATAGCCTCCAGATGCTTAACATATAACAAAACCAGTTATTAAATGTCATGATATGGAAATTAATACAACCAAACTGAGTATTGAGCTCCAAAATGAGCACTAACAGGGATTAACAAAGACATCGTCTGAAATAAAGTTCAATTAACAGAAGTTAAATATCTACACAGACAATAATCATATATGAAGTTGAATTAACAGAAGTTAATCTTCTATGCAAAACAATTCACATAAAGTAAGCAAAAATAATAAACAAACCTCTTTCAAAGACAATAATGTTATATGAAGTTCAAATCCACAAACATATGGAGATTTGAAATTACACAAACATATCATTATCAAATCCACAACTACATTAACACACAATTTAAAACACCAAGAAAACTGAAATTATCAGCAGAGAGAGATCAAGAAAGAGACCAAGGAAAGGGAACTTAGCGTCAATACCTGTTCGGGCTTACGCAAGTCTACCGGCGCTGAAGCTGGAGGGGTGGGGCCGCCGGCGCTGGAGATGGAAGGTTGGACTATCGTAGACTTCCTCGCAGATGCCGGCTTCGAGACTCGACTGCCGCAGACCTCCGCTGGAGCTGGACGAGTGGCACTGTCGGCGCTGCTATGCTCTCGACGGAGAAGAAGGACGTTGAATTGGAGTTGGAGGTTGAAGCGGGAGAAGGGAGATTTGGGAATTTTAGCAGCGGGAGACAAAAAGTCTAGGAAAAAAGGAAAATTGAAAAAAAATAAAATTTAAATATATTGGGTGGCATGCTTGGAGGCACACGTGGTGCCTCTTTAGCATTTTCTTATTCACTTAGGGGGTGTTTGTTTTTCCGCCAGAAGACCTTCTGGCGTCTTTTGTCTGCGCCGCGCAGACGCGCGCAGATGATGGGCTCTGCAGATTGTTTGTTTTTTGGAAGACATTTCACTCAAAAAGGTCTTCCTGGCATCTTCTTGGAGAAGACATTAACCAATGTCTTCTAACATCTCCTTTTTTTTCTACTTCTCTTCACCACCACAACCGTTCATCGCCACCGTCCACCACTACCACCGTCCACCATCACCATTACCGTCCATCACCATTGTCGTCCACCACCACCGCCANGCGTCTTTTGTCTGCGCCGCGCAGACGCGCGCAGATGATGGGCTCTGCAGATTGTTTGTTTTTTGGAAGACATTTCACTCAAAAAGGTCTTCCTGGCATCTTCTTGGAGAAGACATTAACCAATGTCTTCTAACATCTCCTTTTTTTTCTACTTCTCTTCACCACCACAACCGTTCATCGCCACCGTCCACCACTACCACCGTCCACCATCACCATTACCGTCCATCACCATTGTCGTCCACCACCACCGCCACCATCCACCGCCACCACCGTCCACCACCACCGCCGTCAACGTCCACCACCACCCTCCACCACCACCACAATCGTTCATACACCACCACCATACACTACCACCATTAATTTATATAGCAGTCTACAGACATTAAAAAAACAAACAGTCTTCTTCTTGCAGACCGCAGACCTTCGGTCCACCACTTCTCCTGCAGATGTCTACAGTAGTGGTCCGCAGACCGCAGACCTTTTCCTGCAGAAAAAACAAACACCCCCTTAGCACAAACCAAAAGACCTTGTGAGTTGTAAATGGGACCCATACACAACAATACCTCCCTTGTTTTAATACACATAAAAATTAAACACATTATAAATAAGACTAAAGTATAGAAAAATATCAAAATAAAAATTTTATATTTTTATTTCCGAAATAGAATTTCGCATTATGATTGTAATGTGACATTGTACATATGCACATTACTATACTTTTTGGTGATGTACATGATAATGTATGGTAATATAAATACATTTTAATTCCTATTTCAAAAATAAAAACATGAAAATCCTACTTTTCCCCTATTATAAACTGCTAAAGCTCCCTAACCGCAGCTCACTATTTCTCATCATCATCATCATCACTAGCAGTAGCCACACTGATTAAATACTCAATCTCTTCAACAACTTCTTTCATGGAGGGCCTGTTTTGCCTCCTCTCCTCCAAACACCCCATAGCCAGAAACCCGAGCGCCTTCATCGTCTCCAACTCCAAATTGATCGCCCCTTCCTTCAACACCGGATCCACGGCGTCCATTATCTTCTCCTCTCCCACCAAACGTTGCACAAAAATCGCCAAGTTAACATCGTCTTGGTCTCTATTAAAATCTATTGCTTTTTGGGTTGTCAGCAACTCTAGCAAAACGACTCCGAAGCTGTAGACGTCGCTCTTGTCAGTCAACTGGTAGTTTTTATAGTATTCCGGATCCAGGTAGCCTAAGGTCCCCTGAGCGCAAGTGGATATGTGGCTCATGTCTGTAAGAGCCAAGCGTGAAAGTCCAAAATCCGACACCTAAAACAAATTATTAAATTGAACGTTACCGACGAAAATAAGAGACATAATTTGATTATGTAAAGAGTAAAATAAAATGTGACTATAAAGCAGCAAGTCACTAGCTGCATAGTGAAAAAATGACATGAAAGACCTCGTGTGCCACAATCTATCATTTTCTCACTTTGGAATAGGACGTGCTTGAGAATCAAATAGGTGACAAGCTTGAGAATCTATTTGACACAACAAACCCGGAATACCTTGGCATTGAGCTTCTGGTCCAACAAGATGTTGCTCGACTTGACGTCGCGATGGTAGATTGGGGGAACCGCCGAGAAATGGAGGTACGCCAGTGCCTCGGCAGTTGCGTGCGCAATCTTCAAGCGATGGGCCCACGTGAGATGCTCGTGATTGTTTTTGCCTTGGAGGTGATCGAGCAATGTCCCGTTCGAGATGTACTCGTACACCAGCAAAGGTTGTTCTAGCTCGACACAACAGCCTAGGAGGCGGACGAGGTTCTTGTGGTTCACGTGACACAGGATCCTCACCTCGTTTAGGACTTGGTCGATGCCCTTGGTGTTGCCGAGTTTTGCGCATTTCACGGCGATTGTCGTCCCATCGTCGAGGATCCCTCGATACACTTCACCGAATCCGCCAGCACCGAGGAGTCTGTCTCTCGAGAAGTTGTTGGTTGCCCTCTTGATTTCCTTCCCGTTGAAGAGCTTTGCATTGTTTACGCCACCGCCGGCATTGAGAATGGCTTCTCGGTCTCGAGTTAGACGATCACGGACCTCCTTGATGCGCTGGTAACGTTTGTACACGAAAAATGCTAGAGTTGCTGCAAGAAATGCCACGCCCAATCCTGAAGATAACCCTGCAATTTTTTTAATTACTTCAAAGTTAGCATATTGTTCAGATCAAGTTATTTCAAGATTTCATATTTTTTTAAAATTAATTCGTAATTGTCAATTTTTTAATTAATTCAAGTTAGCATATCCTTCAAAAACTAAAAGTTGTATGTTTAGAAATTTAGATTAGAGTGTATATCATTAAAAGAAAGATATACCCCAAATCACATACTGCAATACTCTTTTTAAAATAAAAGCTCCAACTTAATTAATTGTAAGAGAATCAATTTAACAAAAAGTTTAAACTTGTGGTTGTAGGCCAAAAATTATTTTTATACTCTAACATGCACGTGATGATAAGAATGTTCATCAATATTTAATGGAGTTGGGTAATGAAGGTTATGGAAGCACTTAAAAATATTCAAAATATTATCGTCAAACAAAGCTTATAATAGAGAAATGCAGAGTAGTTAAATGTTTGTTCCCGTCATATTTTTTCAAAAATCATGTACCAATAAATATTGACCTAGGGGTGAGGATGAGTCATTTGCACCAGTAACATGCTACACAATTGACAATTAGGGAGTACTCTCTCTTTCCTTGAGTATTTATCTACTTTTGACTTTTTTTCAATCAAAATTAGTAAATTTTGCTTTCAAATTAAATAAAAATGATATTAGATATTGATACAAAAATAATTTTATTCGATCTATTATATGAAGCATTTTCAAAATATTATTTTATCTCATTACTATAAAATATATATTTTATTTAATTATAGATCAAAGGGTAAAAATGGTAAATTGAAAAAAATTAAAACTAGACAAATACTCAGAGACGGAAATATAGGTGTAACATGACTATAGGTATCCAATATTGAACATTTTTTTATTTATAAAGTAACGCCTAAAATTAAAACGTACTACATACCTGCTATGAGGCCAGTTTTGTCATTCCCACATCCATACTTGCAAACATCTACACAAATTAAATAAGAAATTAGATTTTAATTTCCTAATAAAGGGATAGTCTTTGTATTTAGGGGAAACAAGTGAAAGTACACAATATTTTCTACTATTATTAGTTTGGGTTTGTTTGGGAACATTGGTAGAAGTTAGATTTAGAATTTTAAAACATAAAATTTTATAGCATTTTCAAAGTTAATCAATACCATTAAAATTTTATTCGAAAGGCCGCTAATCGAAAAACTATTTTCAAACATATACCTTTTATCATTTTCAAACAAATTACTTCATACTATCTCCGTCCCATTGTCTTTGTCTAGTTTTGATTTTTGGAACTGTTCATCTAAGCACTTTGACTCATCAAATTCTCTCAATGTGTAAGCCTAAAAATAGTCATGTATGATCTTGTTTGATTCGTTTTAACATATAGATTATTAATATATAATTTTTATAATTTTTTAATATACAAATTACAAGATAAAATGGATTAAAGAAGTGCATTGGATTGTGTGCCAAAAGGTAAGTGGACAAAGACAGTGGTACGGAAGGAGTAATAGATAGATATTTTAGTGCGCTTTTTTACGCTTTGGACATAATTTTTTGAAAAATAATTTTTTTTTTTGAAGCAAGAAAAATAATACTCTCTCCGTCTCAAAAAAATTGCTACATATTAACTTTTTGGGAAATTAAGGGAGGAATATTTTGGCGCCGACTTTCCAAAAATACCATGGGTAAAAGTAGGATGTGATGGGTAAATTATTAAAAAAAGATATGATGTAATAGATAGGATATGAAAAAGTTAATTTGGTTTTATCACAAAATTAATGTTTCTAAAGAAAAAAAGTTTAAATGTTAATTTGGTTTTATCATTTCATCTGGTTTTTGTTGATGATTTTAGTGTCATCAATTTATTTTGTGTAATTGGATTTACTTTGATCGGACAAGAATTTAAATAGACGTTGTCAAACGAGTTAGGAGGCGCGGAGTGCGCGCTCGTTCAACGATATTATAAATTCACTGCGGGGTCCGGGGGCGGCAGCCCCCGGGATAACGGGGGTTCGGGGGCGGCAGCCCCCGGGTAGCGGGGTCCAAGGACTCTTAAGAAAATCCTTAAGATTTTCGTGATCAGAGTCCAAAACGGTAAAGGACTCTTACATAATGGATAAACGTCGAAATTAAGCCTTCAACCACAGGAGACCTTTCGTTCAAACTCGCACCTTTCTTCTTCTTGCGCGAACGTACGCGTACATCTACGCGAACGTTCATGTCCGATCACAAGGATTTTCGACTCTATAAAATAGAGTCTCGTGGTATGGGTTGAGTAACAGATTCTCGAGTGCTTGTTCTGAATTAACGTCTTATCCGATTGAAGTATTTCGTATACTCCGAAATAACTTTGATCTGAAAGCGTTTCGTACGCGATTCGTTATTCTATCGAGTTCTTCGTTCAACACTGCTTCGCAGTGTTCTTCCTTTTCTAATTCCAATAGTTTTTTGAGTCCCTAAAGAAAATTACCATGAATTTTAACAGTAAAAAGATGAAATCTTACTGCGAGCACATGAACCCAGAATTGGGTTTTGTGAGTCTCTAAAGGAAAATTACCATGAATTCTAACAGTAAAAAGATGAAATCTTACTGCCAGCACATGAACCAAGAATTGGGTTTTGTGAGTCTCTAAAAAAATTGGCCAAATAGCTTCCATGCCCGTGTGGTTTGGAAAATTAGCACCAATACCCCCTATGTTTTTAAAACTTATTTCTAAAATTCTCGTGGTTTCAAAACGTTGCACCCACAACCCCTCCAGCCATTTTCCGGCGAAGAAGGGGCATTGACGCATAATTTCTAAACCACGGGGGCATTCATGCTCATTTCTTATTTTCGTTTATTATTCTTCCCTTTTTTAAAATATCTTCTATCTCTTTTTTCTTTTCCTAGATTTTTTTAAAAATATATTTTCAATTTTTTATAATGTTTCAAAAATTTTGATATAGATTTAATGTATGTTAATTTTTTTATTTTTATTTTTATTTCAAACACAAATTTTAAAATGATTGGATGGGGTGTGGGTGCAATATTTTGAAACAACGAGGATTTTAGAAATAAGTTTTGAAAACAGAGGGGTTTTGGTGCCAATTTTCCAAACCACAATGGGGCATGGAAGCTATTTGGCCAAAAAAAATTGTCATGAATTCTAATTTCCAACAGTTCAACACTGCTCGGCAGTGTTCTTCCTTTTCTAATTCCAACAGTTTTTTGAGTCTCTAAAGAAAATTACCATAAATTCTAACAGTAAAAAGATGAAATCTTACTGCCAGCACATGAACCAAGAATTGGGTTTTGTGAGTCTCTAAAAAAAATTATCATGAATTCTAACGGTAAAAAGATGAAACTTACTGCGAGCACATGAACCAAGAATTGGATCCCAGTGTGAACCAGAATCACAGAAGCACCTGCTGACGGGGCGACCCGAATTCCCGTCGAGTCGACACGTCGAACCGGAATCACAGTCCAATTGGGAGCCGCACAGAGGCTCCGGCGGCGACGCCCACTCCAGTTCCAACGCTGGTTTGGGCCACCGGCCCACCGGCAAAGACTCGTCCAAGTTCACGAACGCCCGGTACGCCCGGCAACCTGTCATCCTGACCCGGATCTTGTCAGCCGTAGATGACCCACCGGCTCTTAAGCTGCAGCAGAGCGGCGCGTTCGCGCACGCCCCGACACCGTCCCCAGCGGCGAGGCTGCCGTTGATGTAGACGTGGCAGGCGCTATTGGATGAGCAATTTAGCGGGGAACCGAGCAGCGCATCCGTACAATTGAGGTACAGAATCGTGTTGCTGCTGGTGATATTGAACGGGAGGGACGAATTGAGGAGGATTCCGCCGGTGGAGATGTCCTCCGTGACGCAGGTGTCCCGTAAGAACGGTGCGGGCTCGATCGTGAGCCGCTGGGACTTCGGGATGATGGAGGTGATGCCGTAGGTGTTGTTGAGCGTGTCGAAAACCAGCCCCCCGCCGCCGTTGCAGCGGATCTTGTAGAGTTGGTCGCCACAGTCAGGGCCGGTGCTGAGTGGGTACGGGACCGGAGTTGAGCCGCAGTCGGCGCACCTCCTGGCGGAAAGGGCGTTTCCCGAGAAAAATAGGAGGAGGAGGAACGCCGGAAAAAGGCGTCGGAGGGTCACTGCCATTTCCATTATTGGAGGGGGAGAGATTCCTGAAATCAGAATGTAGAAGGGGGATTTTAAATTGAAATAAAGTTGAGTGGGGTTCCCAACTTCACATGGTTTACGGAGTACGAATGACTTTACAATATTCTCTCATATTTTTGTCTAAAAAAGAATTATAAAGTCAATAACTTTACAAGAAATTGACTCTTTTACCCTCTCACTCCTACACTATTCACATACTATTCATCCATGTGAGTGGGCCACTTGGGAGTAATTTGGGGAAAAAAATTTTGATTTGACTCTTCCTTAATTTCAACAAAAAGGGAATATTGTAATCTAAAGTGGGACGGAGGGAGTAGATGTTAAGAAAATATATACTCCTTCCGTCCCTGTCCCTTAGTTTTTGTCTATTTTCATTTTTGCACATCATCCAATATACTTCTTTAATCTATTTTATCTTGTAATTTATATATTAAAAAATTATAGAAATTATATATTAATAATCTATATGTTAAGACAAAGTGCTTACATGAACAATTTTAAAAATAAAAAATGGATAAAAACTGGGGGACAGGGTGAGTATTTCAAAGTCCTTTTTCTTGTTTGATTGGAAGAGAAAAAAGGGGAACAAAGAAAGAGAAATAAAAATCAGCCTTGAAGTTTTCTATCCACATCAGAGAAGAAAACCATACATTAGAAAGGAAACAAACAAAATTACTATTTTGTCTTCTTTATTTATAAAACTATCACTTTAGGTCATGTTTTTCTTCATTTGATCAGAATGTTTCTAATTTGTTTAGAATAATTTTTGATTTGATCCGGTCTAATCTGAATATAATTATATTTAAGCATATTTAAACTCCAATCTAATATGTTCTGATATGATCTACTTTGATTCCAATAAGTTAGTACAAAAATAAATTGAAGAGCACATGTCTTTAGTATTATAAAGTAAGGATAAATGTATCTTTTTGTTATATCACATTTTCTTTTTCTTCTTATTTTTTCTTCACTTTCTACCCATTCATACACTAATTTTTTTCATTCTTTTCAATTTAATTCCTCTCATTTTTCTTTCTTTCATTTTCTTTCCTTTCATTTTCTCTCTTCATCCAAACAAGGCTTTAATGTCACATGATGCCATAGCAAGTCAGTGTCATGGATATCTCACCATAAACAAATATTGTAGTTATTTTAATTTTTTGAAAAAATCACATAAATATTTCCAAAAAGTTATGATTTTACATAGATACGCCAAAGTTTATTAACTTATGTCGTTAGAACTGTCTCTTATTTATATTACTCCTTCCGTCCCACTGTCTTTATCCACTTAACTTTTAGCACACCATCCAATGCATTTCTTTAATCCATTTTATCTTGTAATTTGTATATTAAAAAATTATAGAAATTATATATTAATAATCTATATGTTAAGACGAATCAAACAAGATCACACATGACTATTTTTAGGCTTACACATTGAGATAATTTGATAAGTCAAAGTGCTTAGATGAACAGTTCCAAAAGTCAAATGTGGACAAAGACAGTGAGACGAAGGTAGTATTACTCTGACGCCATAGTTGTCATGTGTGTGTTCTTTTAAAGCCGAGTGAATAATTTAATCAGATGAAATCATCAGCTTTAAATTAAGCTAAAACCAAATGGATAAGATCCTTTTAGTTTAATTAGTCAGATCAAATTAGATCAGACCAGCCTTAAAAAATGCAGATACGACTTAAAAAGTTTAGTTGAAGAATATACCTTTAAAAAGTTAAAAAAATACTTCCTTCGTCCCAAAATATAAGCAACACTGCACTATTTAAAAATTCCAGGAACTTTTATTTATTTTTGCATTTTCATTGATTATTTGATAGAATAAAATATTCTTGTCGCCACTTGTTTTGTAGAACTTTTGACGTAATTTTTAAATATGTAAGTTTTATTTTTCATTTGTAGTCCATTCTTTAAATAAAATGGATTGAAAAAATTCAAAAAATTACTTCGTTTAACGTAATGTTACTTATATTTTGGGACGGAGGGAGTAAAAAGAAGTGCGAAGAAGACGATGAAGAAATAATCAAGGCATGTTAGTTTTGTTGTTTAAAATAGAAAATTACAAGTTGGCACTCTTAAGTCATCCACTTAGCATTAATAGAGCCAATTAGCTTTAACATAGTAATAGCGTAAATTAATGAATTTAAAAGTATTTATGTAAAATTGTATTCCTTGAAACTAAATTTGTTTTTAGATTACTTGTATAAATTTTTCCTTTATTTTTTAATATTCTTGAAACTTGTTAAAACTAAAGTGAAAATTTGATATCCCACTCATCATATCTTGGTCTAAAAGGTAGAATCGCCCACCCCAGGCGTCCCCATCCCATTGCCCGACAGGAATGGTGGAGGAAGTAAATCATGGTGACTCAGTTGGCCAAGAACGCTAGACTCGTGCTCATCGCGCACAAGGAGTCTCCTCACCCTTTATGGGATTTTTGGATAGCTCCCACACTGACGTTTGCAGGACTCGATCTCTGGTCATTGATCCAAGATTTGCCCATGCGGACCCCACTCATCATATCTTTTTCATACTCTTTGTAGTCAATTCATCGTGTAGGGACTAGGGAGTAGTGGATGAATAGTCGTATTCAATTTCCAAAACGGCTGCTGCTACAGCTGGACAGGACAATATGGAAGCTTTATCCAAACATGTCAAACCTACATCAACCCTCATTTTTTTTAGGATTATGCTATGTGTACACCAAGTTTTGTACCCCGCAGTTTTGCACCAATACTTTGTGTTGGTGTAAGACTAATTTTTGTTAAACGCACCAACATTTGTGTCCGTGTGAATTTTTATTAACGCACCAACACTTGTGTCGGTGTAAACCATCGAAATGTTTGTGCAAACCTGTGGTGTACAAATGAGGTATATTTTTTGGTGTAAGTGTAGCATGGTCCTTTTTTTATGTCGGAGTACTTCAAAATAATACTCCGTACTAACAAAAAAAAACTATTGAGAAGAATAATTGCAAATTAAAATTTGGTATTTTAAAATCATGCATTTTTATTTACAAATTAAAATCGTGCATTTTTAAGAATCAATTTCTTTAAAATTTGGTATAATTGTAATTAATAAATAATTAAATAATTAAATAAAAAATTTAATAAAATAAGAGATGATAAAAATATATTGATGGATGTAACTCCAGGGCTGTTCATGTTTAGGTCTGGACCGAAAAAACCGACCGAACCGGACCGATAGGTCCAGACCGAATCCGGACCGATTGGATTTCGGGTCGGTCGTCGGTCCACCAATTTTACAATTTCGGGTTTCGGTCCGGTCCGGTCCAAACCCGAATATCATTCGGTCCAGACCTAAAAGACCGAGACCAATAATTTTACGGAGCAATTCTAAAAGATCGAGACCAGTGAGGCCATCACCATTCTATCTTCTTCCCACTTTTCCAAAAATTCTCCACCTCAAATACAATTCCAAATCTCCTTTCTCCCATTGCAGATTCACTTCCCATAATCGGCAATCAGCCAATCAACTCCAAAGGCGCAAATCGCTAACCCTCCGTTCGCAGATTCGCAGCGGCAATTTTGCTCCGGCCACCACACGCAGCAGCGAGCCTCCCCTCCACTCCCAAACGCCTCCTGAGGTCCATACGACCCCATCACCACCAGCATCGTGGGATTTGGACGCTGGAATCGCTGTGAATCAATTGTGACCCGTCACGATGGTTGCCTGGGGTATTTGCAGATTCCGGCCACCTCCGGCAAATTCGACGTCGCGCACCCACCCAGGCATCTTCCTGACATCTTTACAACCCACCTTGACTCCTCAATTGCAGCATTTGGTTCTGGATTGCCAAACCCCCAATTTTTCACACCTACGGTTTTGCCGGTGGGAAAAGTTTCAATTCCGGCCACACCTGGATTCGGTCTTTTTCGGTCTGGACCGGTTCGGTCCATAAGATTTCGGGTCGGTCCGGTCCAAACCCGACTACATTTAGGTCCGGTCTTCGGTCTAGGTTTTAGCATAGTTTGGTTTTCGGTCTGGTTTAGTCCGGTCCGGTCCGGTTTTAGACCGATGAACACCCCTAGATGTAAGTGCAGTCTATGTGGGCAGATGTCCCTGGTGGGTATGTCCCCACCAACTTGGATGAACTCTTTTAAATTTTAGTTCGGTAATATAAATTGAAAACTAATTAAAGATCTATTTGGTGAATTTTGAAAGTATGATAAAGTATGAATTTTAAAGTTTGAGACAAATGATATGAGTTTGGAAATATGAAATTAAAGTGTTTGAAAAAAATAAAAATAAAATCAAATTAGAGTCACAGTTGTTTGGTGAGTATTTAAGAAATCAAACACTCCCTACAAATGTAATGCCCCGGAGTATACCATTTAGAATGTATAGTAAATATATGTCTCCAATTTGTACTTGTAAATGAAATTTTAATACTCCATCTAGTCCTAAAAGCATGAGATATTTTGATTTTGAAGTGTTTTAAGGAGAGTATATTTTGGTATTGAATTTCTAAAAATGTTATTTAATGTAATGTGTAAAAGTAGATTTGATGGATAGGTTATTAGTAAAAATGTATGATATGATGTGGTAAGTAGAATATGAAAAAATATGAGGTAAAAGTAGTGATTTTTTTAATAGAAATAAGAAGTGTTTTTTGGGATGGATGAAAAAAGAAATATCTCGTGTTTTTAGGACCGGAGAGAGTATTTTTTATTTTGTTTTTTGCGTGTGAATATTTTTTAAAGAGTGACATTCACAATAAAAAAAAAACATATTATGTTCCCAAAAAAAGCACAAAAAATATCTACGATATAAAGCCAAATACTCGCTAATTCCAAAAAGACAAATTTTACTTTTACTTCACAAATATTAAGAAAATTATTTATAAAAATAATTAAAAAATGTTGAGTAGTGAAAATGGAATGATGAAAAATTTTTTATAAAAGAGAAATATTTTGGATAACATTCTTTTTAAGGAAGAAAAAATAAAAAATGAGAAAATGAAAAAATCACAACAAAAAATGCGATAGAAAAGCAAATTGATGTAGAAAAAATAGAAGTAAGACTACAACTAATCCACTATGATTGTGGCGGATAAAAAATCCTTTTACCTCACCAAACAAACCCTAAGATTTGATCACTTATTCAAAAATTTAGTAAAAAAATTATTAAAGTGTTAAATATGGCAGATACATTTCTTATAGTGTTATTAAGAATATCTTGTTTCCTTATTGACCTAAACTATACCTTCTCCCGTGTATGTATAAATACCCCCATATATGATGAATAAGTACCGAGTTTACAACACGTTATCAGCACGAGATTCAAACCCTAATTTTTTTTCTCGTCTGCCTCTCCTGTTTCTTTCCCCGTTCTCCGCTGCACATCACAAAAGTCCGCATCTGTTCTTCTTTGTTCCACGCCGCGACCAGATCTGCAATTCCCCATAGCAGCCATCGCTAGTCACCGTCGAACATAGCCATCCTCCTCTTCATCGCGCAGCGGCTGCAAAGATCCCCAAAGCTCCAGCCGTCAAAAAAGAAGCAGAGCAATCCTCTGACCACTTGCGGCTAAGGTTTCACCCTCGAAAAAAAAAGTTTCTGGACTCTACTCTAAGTATCAATTTTTCACTACATAGTACAGTTAAAATGTCAAAACTTTCAAAACTTAATTTTCTCGAACTCGACATATCCGGGAAAAACTTCCTCACATGGACCTTAGATGCCAAAATTCACCTTACGGCAAAGAATCTAAGAGACACAATTTCTGAAGGAAATGAAGCTTCTGTTCAAGATAAGGCAAAGGCCATGATATTCCTCTGTCATCACCTCCACGAATACCTAAAAAAGGAGTATCTCACCATTGAAGATCCCCTCGAATTGTGGAATAGCATTCAAGAGCGCTTTAATCACTAGAAGTTGATCTTACTGCCAAAGGCTCGTTATGAATGGCTCCGTCTAAGACTACAAGATTACAAATCAGTCTCTGAGTACAATTCTGCACTTTTCAGCATCACCTCCGTCCTGAAGTTATGCGGAGAACCAATAACTGATAAAGAGATGTTTGAAAAGACTTGTCTGCATTCCATACATCTAATATTAATCTGTTGGAACAATATAGAGAACATAAATTCACTAAGTATTGTGATTTGATATCATGTCTGTTGGTAGCAGAACAAAACAAAGAGCTACTCATGAGAAATAATCAAGCACGACCAGTTGGTGCGAGCCCATTCCCTGAAGTGAATGTGGCAACTACTCAGAGTGGACGAGGGAGAGGAAGCAATACATGGCATTGAGATGGCATCGAGATTCTTATAATCGAGATTCTTATAATCCAAAGTATGAAAAGGGTAAACTGAAGCAGAATGATGGGGGACGACCCCCAAAGGGTAAAGCTAGAGGAGGCCAAGAAAGTACATGTTTCAAGTGTGGCATGACCAACCACTGGTCTCAAACATATCGCACCCCTAAACATCTCGTGGAGGCATATCAACGAATGGTGAAAGAGAATGAAAAGGGAAAACACATTGAGACAAATCTCGTTGACACCACCACTACCTCATCAATTTCTACGATGCTCACAAATACTCATCTGCGTAGTTTTTTTCTCCCTATCTTTACGACTATGTTCTAGACGATGTGTTGCATTCATTTAGATCTTTTATTTTGAACTTGTTTGATGTTTTTCCTATAATCTCTATTATGCCTATTATTTTTATTCAAAGCTTTATGAGGTGATTTATTAAATGAATGAATAATAATCATTATTTTATTTCTTGAAGAAATATGAACACAAGGTCCAGCAGAGCTCTTATTGGTGATGAATGTTTGATAGATATGAACACAAATTCAGATGCAACTCTCCATTTAAAAACTAATTTACCAATTTACTCCGGAATATAATAACAAGCGAACAAGAAGAAACGAGCAAGAAAGAACGAACAAGGACAAAATTATCAATTTAATAGGAGACATAGTACAATCCCAAAGGACACTTAGAGCACTCGAAATACCCGTGAAGCTCCGGGGCTTCAAATTGGGACTTCAAAATTTCTCTCTCTGCCACGTCAGCTTTAACTTACCTCAGAGATTTAGTGGAAATGGGTTTGAAGCCCTGACGCTTCAAACATGGGCTTCAAACCTTCATTTTTTACATTTTAAAATATAAATATTCTAAATTTAAATTAATAAATTTTAATTAACTTATTATTTAATTATATTGAAACAAGAATAATTAAAAAATTACATTCATTAAATTTAAAGAAATTGAAGCGACAATAATTTAAAAAAATTACATTCATTAAATTAAAAAAAGAAAGCGACAATAATAAAAAAAGATACATTAATAAAAAACTAAGATAAATTATATTTGGCCTTGATCTCTTTGTCTTCTCTCGAGATCGTCAGGGAAGAAGCCGGAGCCGGAAGGATTCATGTTGAAAAGAGAGTTGGAGAATTGAAGAAAATGTGAAAAAGATTGATGAGAATTGGAGATTGAAAGGTGTGAAAAGATGGAATTTAAAATTTATATAAAAAAATTAATGATTTTTTTTGCTTCCAACGACTAATTTCGCCGTTATAAGGGAGGAGAAATTGCGTCAAACGAATGACGCGTGAGTCTTAACGCCACGATGAAGCCCCATGGTGGCTGTGACGCCCCAAGGCATGAGGAGTATTTCCGGTTCCCTTACACTAACACTATGTTTGGTTCAAGGAATTTTAAAGGAAAAGAAAAGAAAATGATTTTCTCTCATTTTCCTCACCAAAATGGGAGGAATTTGGTTTTCCCTCGACTTGGTACATTTTGCATTCTCATTCTCTTTTCCTTCCACTTTTCCTTTCTAACCAAACAAGAAAACTTATTTTCCACTTCATTTTCTTTTCTTATCTCTTTTGAATTCCTTGAACCAAACATAGTGTAAATAAAATAAAGGATTTTACCCTGGAGTATATACTATGTTCCACCCGGTTCGGTGGCCACTGCATTCCAGTGACTTACGGAAGTCATTGTCCCCTACGGATACTTACGGTGTTCCGTTCGTAAAATTGATGATTCCTACTTTGTCTAACCTCCCAATAAATCCTCCGCCTAGTCTCGACCCTAACTCATCCCTCCACCCACATAAATTGTATCCCGCAATTTTAGTTGATTTTGAAGTCAAAATAAAGTTTAGACTTTAAAATCAATTTACTTATGAGGTGCAATTGACGTAGGTGGGGAGATGACTGATGACTTGGGGTCAGTATAAGGTGAGGGGTTTATCGGGGTTAAAAGCGGTATGAACCATCAATTTTATGAACGGAGCACCGTAGGAGGGTAATGGCTTCCGCAGCCACTGGAATGCAGTGGCCACTGAACCTAGCCGTACTATGTTTGGTTCAAGGAATTTGCATTGAAAGGGGAAAAATGAAAATAAAGTGGATAACAGTTTTTTTGTTTGGTTAAAGAAGAAACGAAACATAAAATGGAAGGAAAAGAAAATGAGAAAACAAAGTACTCCCTCCGTCCCAAAAAGAATGAGACGGTTTGACTTTTTGGGAAATTAAGGGAGGGATATTTTGGTTTTGACTTTCCAAAAATACCCTTGATGTGATTGGTAAAAGTAGGATGTGATGGGTAGATTATTAGAAAAAAGGTATGATGTGATAGGTAGGGTGTGAAAAAGTAAGGGGTAAAAGTGGTTTTTTAATAGAAATGTAACGGAATTTACGGGACACAGTTTTTTCTAAACGTAACAAACTTTTTGGGACGGAAGAAGTATAATATATGGAAGAAAAATCAAATTCTTCTCATTTTAGCGAAAAAAATGTAAGAAAAATATTTTGATTTCTTTTACTTCAAAATTCCTTAATCCAAAGATAGTCTTAAAACTTAAAGTATGAGTGTATGACAGTATGACAAACAAGAAAGAAGGAACAAGAGAACAAGAGTAGTGAATAATAGAACCGAAATATTAAGAAAGGCCGAAACAATGACACCCCTTAGTCCAAAAGAAGAAACAAGAATTCCCGTCCGGTCTAGCCGCCGTTCGGAGGCTCCGCCGCTGAGGACGCCCACTCCAATTCCAACGCCGGCGCGGGCCACTGGCCCACCGGCAAAGACTCGTTCAAGTTCACGAATGCCCTGTACGCCCGGCAACCCGACGTCCTGACACGGATCCTGTGCGCCGTGGTCGACCCGCCAGCTTTAAAGCTGCAGCATACCGGCTCTTTGGAGCACGCGCCGGCGGGATTCCCGGCATTGAGGCTGCCGTTGATGTAGGCGTGGCAGGCGCTATCGGAGGAGCAATTAAGCGGGGAATTAAACAGTGCATCCGTACAATTGAGGTACAGAATCGTGTTGCTGCCGGTGATATTGAACGGAAGGGACGAATTGAGGAGGATTCCGCCGGTGGAGATGTCCTCTGTGACGCAGGTGTGCGGCAAGAACGGTGCCGGCTCGATCGTGAGCCGCTTAGAATCCGGGTCGATGGAGGAGATGGCGTAGGTGTTGTTGAGGGTGTCAAAGAACAGGTTTCCGGTGCTGTTGCAGCGGATCTTGTAGCGTGGGTCGCCGCAGTCAGGGGCGGTGCTGAGCGGGTACGGGACCGAAGTTGAGCCGCAGTCGGCGCACTGCCGGGCGGAGAGGGCGTTTCCCGAGAAAGCTAGGAGGAGGAGCAACGCCGGAAAGAGGCGTCGGAAGGAATCGGAGGGGACTGCCATTTTTGGAGGGAGGGTTCTTTCTAATTGCGCGCTGGAGACAGAGTACACAAGCAGGTGGGTTTTATAGCTTTCCGGGACTACTCCCCTCATACCCATTTTTTCATTTGGTTTTTTTGGTTAATTTTTTAAAATTTTGATAAAAGAATTGATTATGATATAAATTTAATATTTATACAAGGAAAGGAAGCAACAGGGATACGAAGCTTACAAATTCCCTATCTGGGAAAAGAAGCAGGTCAGGCGTCAGCCCAATGGCTCTTGTATTTTTCGGTTCCACTATGAAACCGATTCCGGTATGAAACTCTTGTAAATTCCCGTATTTTGCAGTTTCGGTATGCTAATTTCTCAAAATTTTTGCATTTTTAGTTTTTTTTATTTCATTCTTTCCTTTAACAATTTCATATTTACAATTTTACACTTTAAAAATTTAATAAAAAAGTAAAAAAAAATAATTTGGGGGTGGCCGAAAACCGGCCGGTCCGGTACCGGAACCGCCGGTCCGGAAACCGGAACCGATACCGGCCGGTCCGGTACCGGTACCGGTACCAAGGGGTGGCGGTACCGGAACCGGAACCGTACCGTGTCCACCCTTAGTAGTAATGAGTGTGGTGTATGAAATAAACTGAGTAAGATGCAATAAATAAAGTAAGTGAATGTACTTGTGGTACTTTAAATGTTAAAAAATGTAATGAGAAGATCAACGAAAAATATTCTTTTCACATTAATGTCAAAATAGTCCCCCCTTCTAAGGGCAAAATTTTGTTAATTTTAATTTTTTTAAATTTAAAATTAGTATAAAAAATAAATTAAATCATTCAAAAATACATATAAAATTCTAACAAGTAATATTATTATCTAGGCCGATACGATCATGAGAACCTTAGCATATGATTTATTTCCTTTTTTTAATAGAAAATGTGAAAATTAAAGTAAACAAATTCATTTTTGACTCATATGAGTCATATCCAATCGGATGTTATAGTCTTACAATCATAAAATTTTATATTGATATTTTGTGTCAATATAAAATTTATTCTATAGACTTCTAGGGGATATTCCTATTTCATTTTCAAAAAGGCTGCGACAAACTAGACATTAGATGAGGAAAAGTTCGTGCAAAACGAGTGTTGTCCAATGCTTCTCTCCTAATATATTGGTCCAATTTAAATTTTTCATTAAATCAAATAGAATAAATTTTGATCTTAATTAAACAAAAATTATAACCTATATTTGATGTATCTTATTCAAAACTTTTAAAATTTGTAATATAAACACAATTTATTAGATTTAAAACTTTTAAATTCAATTTTATTGTAGGAATATATACAATATAAATTGAGATTATTTGATAATTAAAATTTATCAAAACTGATTCCAAAAAGACAAACTAGTTATTAGATATATAGAGAGTGTCAGACTTCATCTTTAATTTGGACTTCACATAAAAATTGTATCTTCAAGAAACAAATAATATTATTTATGAACATGGAGAAACGTGGAATAATAGAGTAACATGGATTTATTAGATATATAGAGAGTGTCAGACTTCATCTTTAATAATGTTATTTCTTATTTTATAGATTTTTTATTATTATTAAGATCTATTTTTATAGATAATTTTACGCATGTAATTTTTAAATATATAATTTTTTTTAAAAGTGTAATATCATTGTTTAAGTAAAATATTAATTTAGAAATAAGTCTAGTCAACCATCTTAATCCATATGGGACTTTAGTTTGGGAGAATGAGTATAAATTTTGTTTAAAAAGTGCATGTATGGGTGTCAATACAAATATATTCCTTAATCTCCAAATTAATTTTATAATTTTTAACTTTAAGATGTCTAAAAATTAATTTTTCACTTTTCCTTTTAAAGAATAAATTTAAATTAATTTTTCACTTTTCCTTTTAAAGAATAAAATACATGAGTAAATTTATTTCTCTCTCCTATATAAATTTCAATGACACATTTTTTCTTTTTTCACATAACTTTTTTACTTTTGAATACTTAATTTCATGAAGATAAAATGTCAAGTTGATTTGGAAATGAGAAGAGTGTTACTTCCTCTGTCCCATTTTAAATTGTCTATTTTTCTTTTTTCTCGTCCCAAAATAAGTTGTTTGTTTTTTGTTATCGTAGACTCTTCTCCACCATATCTTCTCATTTATATATCATCACCCCTCCTAAAAAGTAATGACAATTTCGAAAAGTCAATTCTATTTTTTCTCTTTCTTAAATATGTCCCAAAGTCAAAACGAATAATTTAAAACGGGATGAAGTGAGTAAAGGAGTACTACGTAAGAGTGTAAGAGCATCTCCAACCCACCATTCAAATGCTATAATATAAAAGGTATAGCTTCTACTATTCATAAAATGCATCTCCAATGGAAGATCTATAAAATAGACTTTATGCTATATTTGATTGAGCATCATCTATATATAAATGATACTGTAGCATTATTTAAAAAGACTGGGCATGCTTTAGCCATAGATGAACCTAGGGATTGAAACCAAATAATAAGAAATAGTTAATACGTACAGATTTAACTTTTATGGTTGGGGCAAATACTTAAATTTAGATTGTCAAATTACTGTAGATTGGCTACTTTAGCTTTTAGCTCACATCTCCCGTTGGAGATGCTCTAAGACTAGGTATCTACTATCTAGTGTACCCAACCATCACCGGCAGTGACAATTTTAAAAAAAGTGATTGGAAGTTTGTGACATCTTTTGACAAATATGGGCAAAAAAGAAATAAAATTTACGTCAGGCATCATACATTTTTTAATAAGATAAGTGATTTGAACAATTATAATTTTAGTGGCTGATAAACTGGACTATATTATTTTTTTTTGAGTCTAGGGGCACACTTTTTATTTCTTGGGAAACTTCTTTTGATTACTAAACAAAACTTTTTTTATATTATATCATTAAATAAATAATTTATTGGTGGCACTACGCCCATTGTATGCATGTAAATCCACTAAGGCCCTGTTTGGTACACGGAATTTAAACTATGGAATTGGAATTGAGTACTTCAATTCTAATTCTGGTGTTTGGTAGCACAAAAATTACTCCCCTCGTCCTAAAACTTTTTTCCCGTTGCGCAAAACGAAGAAAAATTTCAAGTTTTTTCAATTTATTTTATTTAAATATTGGTATAGAAATAAAAAATAAAACATACATATTTAAAAACTACATCAAAAGTTCAACAAAACAAGTGGTGACAAGAATATTTTATTTTATCATATAGGCCATGAAAAAACACAAATAAGTATAAATTCCCGTGAAGTTAGAATAGTGCTCTGGGAAGAAAGTTTTAGGACGGAGGAAATATGTGGACTTTGTACTTACCCATCTTTACCTTCTTAGCTTTGCCTTCGTTTTACCCCGAATTCAAGTCATAAAATTGAAATTGGAGAGTGCAATTCCAATTCTCCTGTTTGGTAGCACGAAATATGTAGATTTAAAATTAATAGTGCAAAAAATGAATTGGAATTGGAGAACTCAATTCTATCCAATTCAAATGAGTAAATTTCATAATTGGTTGTTTAAAACAGGAGGTTTCTATATTTAGTCTTCTATTATCAAATATTATTCATGTAGTCCTTTTATGTGTGCCTTTCCACAAATAATCCATTTTTAAATCTTCTGTCATGTTAGTGTTAATTTAAAAGCTAAAAATATAATTTGACATCGACCTTATGTCCAGTGACATATTCTGATATTGGTTAGACGAATAACACAAAAAGAATGACTATGATTGTGAGTTAGTATTCCAACGAAAGATCACATCTGTAGACTATGGTTGTAGTAGAAAGCGACTGTAATTCACAAACAACGGATCAAGAATGATATATTATTTTTGTGAAATTATACTTTTAGCTTTAAAATTAACACCAACATGATAGAAGATCGAAAAAGAGATTATTTATAGAAAGATACCCATAAAAAGGACCATCGGAGTAATAATTGATAATAGAGGACTAACTAGAGAAACCCATCTGTTATAAAGAACCAAATATGAAATTTTCTCAATTCAAATCTATAAAATTTTAATTCTAATTCATATTCAATTCTGTCAATTCCGTGTACCAAAAAGACCCTTTTATGTAAAATTATGAACCCCTTTAAGTGGTGTAAATAAGAGAGTGTACACCGTCCATCCCACTACTATAGTTAGGGGCTGTTTGTTTCAGCCTCTTAATGGTTCAGATGTCTGAATGATTCGGCACTTAATGGTTCAGACTGTTTGTTTCAGCCTCTTAATGGTTCAGACGTCTGAATGGTTAAGAGATTTGCCTCTGAATGGTTAAGTATTATACAGAGTCTGAATGGTTAAGAGCTGTTATCTGAATTGATCAGACATTTGCATCTGAATAGTTAAGCAATATACTAGCTCTTAATGGTTCAGACCTCTTACTGGTTCAACACTTAATGATTCAGACCTCTTACTGGTTCAGCACTTACCCATTCAGAAGTTGCCAAACAGCCCCTTAGTGTTCTCCGCAATCTCCTCCCATGGTAACAACAAGTTCCACCATCTTGGTTTTTTCGTTTGACCCTTTAGAGCTTACTTTGTCTTAACTATGCTGCAAAGCACTTAGTTTATAAACAACAACAAATCGCCAAATACCTTCAAAATGGCGTTGAAGTTGGTAATTTGCTGTTGTTTTAACAAAACAATGTTCAATCACAACACCAAACACCCTCAAAATTGCGTTGAAGTTGGTGACCATTTTATTCACTACAATACAATTCTACAAATCTGAAACAAGCACGATGTCGGGGATACATACAATATGTTTTAAGTTACAATTGTCTTTCTGGTTTTCCACGCGCAACGACAGAAACATAAATATTTCTTGGTGGTGTGGTCCGAGAGAGTGGGCTTTGACATTAATCAATAAGCGAACCAATACGAGCCACACTGTTTGTGGCTGCAGAATGTACACATGATGATCTATATATATGTACATTTACATATATAACTCAATTGCTAACCTAGCAAAAATGTTCCCAAAGCATTCTGGTAAAGGGCGTGCGTTCATGTGGGTGAATCTGCGAGTAGAAGGGTATGCCACCATCCACATGACACCTTTTTTGGGACACGTCTATCCATTGGAACTTGTGTTGGGATTT